GTGTGCTCTTCCGATCTAATTTGGCTTCTAGACTAGAATATTTCCTTAAGTCATTATATTATCAGCTGAAGGATACATTATATTTCAAGACAATTGACGATATTCAAAAATGCTTCAAAACTGTCTAAAAAATGCCTGTTAATTTCTATTGTGACATTCGAAGCTATCCGAAAATAAAGTCATTGATAATAATGGAGAATACTTTAATAATTAAATTTCCGATATTTTAGTTTTTTTTAAAAATAATTTTAATTTGACCTAAAAATAAAAAAAATTTATTTCTACAATTATTATTCTACAAATATAATGAAAATGTTACATTTGGCGTAATGAATGATCTATTAATGTAGATTTGCAACAGTTTACATTGTAAAATAAGAGTTGTTTCAGACTATATGTATTTAATAAATAAAAACAATCCATTAAAATTACTAATAAATAAAATTATTAACTAATAATATTAAGAGTTGCTAATATTTTTATAATTTATATAAAATCACAAATAACATATTTATTAAATTTTGAACAGATAACAAAAGTGACTAGTATTAGACTAGAGACTAGAGTATTATTTTTAACGTGAAACGTCACTTTGGTACGAGATAACTGGAGTAGGAATATATTTTTTGTTTAATTTACTGCTTATTGGTATGGGCAATGGATGGATATGTGGTTTAGCAGGAAATTTAGTTCCGGCAATATCAATTTCATAACATGTTGTTGGATCCATTATAAAATCTGTTGTGATAATTTTGGTTTCTTGTTTAGATTCTGTTCCAGGAAGACTAATAAATCCAAGACAAATGAGTTTCTCTGTTACAAAACCATAACTGAAAGAGAAATATTATTATTAATGCTAATGCTATATATAATATAAATAATATAAATATAATAATATAATAATAATCCAGTCCCATAAAAATAATATGTCCCACATACCCAGCTGATGTAACAGTACCAACAAATTCACCATTCCGATATAATGGTTCACCACCCCACGCCCATACATCTTTGTTCAAGTCCATGCCATCAAGAACAAATAGAACTAGTCGTCTTGTTACTCCTTGTATCTTCTGCTGTTTTAAAGCAGATTTGCCAATAAAAGAACCTTTCTGTAATCAAATTATAAAATATTTACTAAATCACATATATATCTTAACTATTTTATATCAATCCTTTTACTTTATTTGGATTTTATCTATTTTTACTTTTTAACTGCATTATGTACTTATAATTGCTCTTAACATTTTTAGATTTTTCAATTTTATTTTTTGATAGATTTGCAAAATATAAACAATAACATAAGTCTTAGGTTTCATTAAAAGAATATCCATTTTAATTTTAAATGTAAAAACATATATACAAGATACAAACAGAATAGAGTTAATGCTGTAACACTAACATCCAATTTTACACTGTAACCGCTTCCAGCTTCATATGGTGTAACATACGGTGTCAATTCTTCAGCCCAAAACGGAATAAATCTCTCTATTCTCATAAAACGTTGTGTGAGTACACCAACATCTCTTGCACCATAATCTTTACCTACAGCCATTAGTGTTGAATAAACATGCAGTGCATATTCCGAAGGTATGTAGAGACAATAACCAGATTCACCCGTATGTGTAAATGCCATTACCATAACGTCCGAAGCATATGCAACATTTACTGTCTATCATTTTGAATAAATGATCAATTGAGATATTTGTACTAAAATAAAAGAAAACAATCAGTAACGATTAGAAAAAATATTCTGACCTTATAAGTGAAGGGTGAAAGATTGATGTCAGAATTGGATAATTCAGAAAGTAGGTCAGTAGCTTTGGGACCTACTATATTGATCACTGTATATTTTGAAGTCACATCATTAAGACCTACTGAATGATCTGCTGGCAAATGTCTATTTTGATAAATAAGGAAAATTTATCAAAATTATTTTAACAATCGTAATAATGTTATAGTAATCTTATCTATTTACAGAAAGGAATAATAGCTTGGAATCTAAATAAGAAATTTCTTTCTTTAATAAAAGTGTTTTTCAAAAATTTCCCAAAAAATTAATTTATTATTGTATTTTTTACTTAAGACTGAATTTCTTTCTAGAATTCCAAAATGTTTATTTCTTTATTTGTTTTATTATATATACCTTAATTGCAGAATAACACTTACCTAGACATCCATTGATAAATACGTGTCTGCTGTGATGTAGGTGAGACCATGAAATAGCTATTTTCTCCTTGTCGTACTAACATGCAATCATTTTCATAACCACCTTTCTCATTTTGCATTCCTGTATGAACTATTCCGCCAACTGGTATATTAGCATCATTAGAACATAATTGTTGTAGATACTTTACCACTTCTCCATGACTAGACTGCAAGAAAATTAATTATTAAAAAGATAAAAATAATAAAAAACAAAAAAATTATTAATATATATATATATATATATATATATATATATATGACAAAATGAGAAAAAAAGTATATATTGGGTCATCCGAAAAGTTTTGCGGTTTTCACTCACGAAAATAGTGGTCAGTTTAAATGGTCATGTATGGTACTTTTTGTAATTTATAATTTCTCTGTCAGTTCTTATATTGTAACGAGGATTTTCGGCTTGCTCTAGTAAATCATCATCCACAGTGCAGGGACGTCTAGACTACGCCTTGTTTTTGAGAGTGAAATCACTTTGTTGAAATTTTACATACCACCTCCAAACTGTATCATCAGAAATAGTACCTTGTCTGTAGACTTTATAAATTTTACACTCTGTCTCGCATGCATTCTTGCCATTTCTGAAGTAGAAAAGCATAATATTGCAAAAATATTGTTTCTGATTCTCCATCTTTGGGACACTATAAAAATGAATATATTGAATATATGCCATTATGAATGGATGCATTTTTTAAATAAAAGACTACTCTTTCTTATCAACTTGAAGTTTGGGCTTCCTCATTCAGTATTAGCGCAAAATTCAAACTGGTATCCGTGCAGATGTGAAAAAACAATCTCTTTGGAAAAAACCGCAGAATTTTCTGGATAACCCAATATTTTATATTCACTAATTTCATTATATTAATCTCTTACTTTAATTTCAATTTTCGAAAATGAACTCATATCTATTATCCCGACGCCTTCTCTACACGCTTGAAATTCATCCTTCATAAAATCAAAGAATTTTGGTTTATAAAAGCTGCCTTTGGGCATAATCGGTTTTTTCTGTCCTCCTTTCAAACATAGATAAAGATAACATAAGTTTTATAAGGTATGTATCTTATGCTAGAAGATTTAATATTTTAAGAAACTTACGTCTATAAGTAGGATCAAAGTAAAGTGGACGTTCATAAGCCATTTTTACACCAAAAATTGCACCACGTTCTTCCAAAACGGAATACAAAGGTGAACAACGCAATTTTCGGGCATATTTATACTCAGATTGATGAGGATATAAAATAGCATAATTTCGACCAACCACTTCTTTCATTCGCTGTTGTAGATATTGTTTATTGTTGTGTAAATCTAGAAATCTTTGCACATTGAACGGTAGTACTTCTTGTGTCGATTCGCCATTTATTAATGATTCGGCGATTTCTTTACCAATTCCACCAGCACCTATTAAAAAAATAGTGATATTTCAAACTTGTCATATAAGAAATAAGTGTAAAAACAAATCACAGAATTTAGAAACATTATCAAAATATTTACCTTGCAATGAATTACCATTCATTCCAACAGCAACAAAATAATTCTTTACTTCAGGACTTTCTCCTAATATCCATCTACCATCTGGAGTAAAATTATCAGGGCAATTATATATATTTGGATGTTTTATTTCTTTTAAGATTGGTAATCTATGTATAACTTTTTCCCATAACGGCTGCCAATGAGCTGGATCACTTTTCACATGTTTTGTCCAATCTTTTGAAGGAACTTGACCGCTGCCAAACGCGGGTTTTGCATCAGATTCAAACCAGCCAAGTAAGAATCCACCTGTGTTAATTATCAAATACAATTTTATTATTCAAAATAATTCACTCGTATCTTAAATATAACATATGCTTATGTATCTATAATTCATAAAAAAATTATACAAACTAAATTATAGAAACTATGGAAAAGACATTAATAGTACCTTCCCATTCTCTCATATATGAGTATGAATCAAAATCTCGTATATAAGGAAGAGAAGCACTGATTTCTAATGATAAAGGTGGTATGATTGCGTATAAATGTTCCGCAGGATACGCAGGAATTCGAACTGGTGGTGTACATTTTAATCCTAATTCACGAGCCCACTAAGGCATTAACAAACAAATATATTAGATTAATTACACTATAAGTCCTGTAATTCATTTAGGACTTGTATGAAAATATATCTACCATTCCGGCACAGTTAATAAAATATTGGCAGGAAACAGTACCATATTCAGTCTTGACACTTTTAACAGCACCTTTTTCAGTTTTTACTCCTTCTACACGACAGTGCTCAACATATCGTGCTCCTCCCTGCTTTGCCAATTTTGCTAAAACTTCGCAAATTGCATTTAGATTTGCAACAGCATCTTCTGGTACCCAAATTGCTCCTTCTATATCATCAACATGTAAATAAGGATGTAATCTCTTCAATTCTTCTTTACCCAAGGTCTATAATGTATTAATAATTTTGTAACTTGATAATTCTCACAATACTATAATAATACTATATATAAAATGATATAAAATAAAAATACATTTATTAATATAATCGAATATATCTTTTTTCATGATTAATTTTTCAGAAATTACAATTTAGTTAAGGCGATGCTGGAAGATCGAAAAAATTTGCACGAGATCGATAAAACAGACTCTTCGGTGTCAGTGGTATCTCTAAATGAATTTCATACAATATCTTTTGTCTCACTCAAAC